GTCAGTTACTTTTTGCCCTATTAGTGCGCTGTTAACTGTGGGCTCATCATGTTTCATAGATTATGCAATAACTTTCATAATACTTCGTACATTTAAGCTAAATGGTATACGTTCTACCCATTCTTCCTCCTAAAACCAGGTGCCCGTATTGGAGTGGCAAGCATTTCGCGCGCACTGTGGGGACCCCAAGATAGTTCCTTACCCTTTACTCTTTGCTTTTTTATCCGATATTCACATTGTCCCCTTAAGCTACATCAGTATCTTCATTGGCAGTACACCAGTGGACCCGCCTCCGTACTTTACCTGAACTTCTTCTATCTGGACACCAGTCCGGCGTTCTGGTTCTCCATTCCCCTAAGCGTCGTCCTAGCCCTCCTTCCAGACATTCTCTGGCGTCTCGCTTCAGACGCCTGGTGGGATCACCAGATAGCCCTTTCCGGTGTCAAACGCGAAAAGGAGCGGCGAAAGCGGAAAGCTAGGAGGGAACAACCCCAGGATAGTTGGGCGAAATCCAAGGAGGAAGGAGGGTTAGTAAGTTTTCTCTTGCCCACATTTTGGTCAGTATCGTGCCTATGTCAACCGCGTCAGCTATGTGAGCAGAGTAGCTTAAGTTCTCAATTTCTAAAGACAATCGCTAGGTTCTTAGTCGTTTGTAGCTGCGCCGTGCGTGGTATCGGTATTGCCGGTAGTAGCTCGCTGTGGTTGTTAATCCGAGGAGCCATGCAGAAGCATGGGGCTACTGGATTAAAATACTAAAAACTGAAGTTGCCCAACCAAACAGGTTTTTGCTGCTGCTGCTGGAAGAGCTCGATGGGCCGTTCATCCCCAAAATGTTCTACGCCAAACATCGACCACATCTTTAAATGACTGAGCGAAATGGCAGGTTTTGGACTAATCGCGAGTTTCCTCTCTTTCGCTGTATCGGCTTTTCGATGACCGCTGGCGTTTCGCGCAATGACCTTTATGGAGAATGCTCTTTAACTTGCGCCCTTCTTGGTTAGGTTCGTCGTGGTGTCGTATTCGCTCGCTTTTCTTAACTTCGGTGTTACTATCTTATCCTAGGCTTTATTTTTAGTGATGACTCAGGTTTTTCTAAACCACAGGGACGTGTATATGCCTGTTAACAGAGTTGGCATCTGTGTACCATGCCTCAAGCTTCAATTATACTTTTAAGCGGTGTGTCTGCCTAACTTTATCAGTTATTGAATGTCCAAAATATGTCCAATTTCTCCAATATGGGTTGCAAGCTATGAGTTCGGATCTGGCTTCTGAGCTGCCAATTTGTACTCATGTAGAAGGGGTCGCCTATTCTTATCAAGTTTGCCCGACGTAGATGTAGTCTCAATCAGTGCAAAATATTTGGTAGACAAGTGCCGATGTTTCGTTGAGTTGCGGTCTGGCCGTAGGTTGAAGCACATAGTGACGAAATATTACCTTGAATCGATGATCGGTGCCTACGCCGTTGGATTTTTACCATCGAAAAACTGCCTTGGAGACTCTTTTTACATAGAAAATGGTCCTCTAGACTTTCGGTTGCTGATTTTTGGTCGAATTCTGTTCTTTGGGCAATCGCGTTTCCTCTTCCATCGAGGATACGATGCATAACGCCAGCAAACCCCAAAAATGCGTCAAAAAGCCGAGAATGAGGAGGTACGGCTCACCAAACTCTTCAAGCAATAACACATATCTGTTCGGTTGAGCAAATTCATTTTCTCAGGTCGTCAACCCGGAAATTTTACTTTCGCCAACTATTCCCCCGTTAAGTCGAAAGCAAGTCAGCTTACTTTTGTCCATACTACCTATACCACTGTTACCCTAGCTGTTAGGACCTGTACATTGAACATTGTGCTTAAAGCGTGGGGTGGGGGGTAATATTGATTTGTTGTGATGTAAGGAGGGGGGTTTAACTAGTATTGATCGCGTTTTAGCGGCAAGGAGGAATTGAGTTCACTAAGAATTCGAATGAAACACATTAGCTGACCAGTCATTAATTTGCCCTTAATGTGTGTTGCACTGATAAAGGTATTTTAACATGCACCAAATCTAGACGCCAGCATCAATTAAAATAATTTAATATGCGCGAAGATTTGTGGTCCAGATATCTTATCGATTTCATCAATTGATGAAATCGATTAAAATAATTAAA